AAAAAAGAGGAAATCCACAATCTGCCTGAATGTTCTTAGTTCAACAAAGTCTTTGAGTTGACAGCTAATAATTAATTAACAATGAATGGTGTCTTTCAGCCTGTCATCATGATTGACACTATCATCTTCTGAAAAGTGAAAGATTTGTTAATGTGGCAGACTACAGTCTGGGAAACATTAAAGCTTCACAATTCCCACCGCTTTCAGCTAAATGCTTGACATGACAGGTTAGCTCGCTCAGAAAGAGAAGGAGGTGAAGAGAACAGCAGCAACCTCTGCTGGTGGAAGCACGGCTTCCCCCGGAGCAGCGATCTCACTACAGACAGACAGCAGAAATTAGGGATAAAGTGACCTGGCTGGCTCGGAAAATCCGGGAGCTACAAATTGCTGGGGGCCAGGTCAGCAGCCTGGGAAGCATTAAATTGTGCACTTGCCCAGTGCCGATAGCCTTTCCTGGTCTCGGTCGCGGCAGGGTGCAGGCGATGCTGGCTGGGAGGGCTGCAGCGAGAGCCCTTCCCTCCGCCACGGCCCAGCTCCACATAAACACGAAACAGCTGCCTAAGAGTCACGGGGAGCTCGTTTTTGATTACACACATTTGTTGATTTTTTTAAATTCTATTTTTAAAGACACTGCCAAAAATTATGAAGCGTGGTCTAACTTAAAATAACCGGCCTAATTAAGCTAATCAAGCAGTGCGAGATACTCCATTCTAGTAAACAACGAGTCCTGCTGTCTCGCCCCCTCGATATTGTTACTGTCTGCCATGGCTTCACCTCCTCAGCCTTCCTCTCTGACTCTTGGCTCTTTCAGCTTAACCCTAATGACAGCATCTTTACACTGATGAGTGCTCGTGGCTGCTTACCTCCTTGGTGTCACACCTGCAGGAGTGGCCTGACGTGTTCCCTCCTCGTGTCATTCAGCTTTTCACAACCCAGTTGCATCAGGAGGGACTTTTGTTTGCTTTCAGCTCCCTCCTTATTGCCCTTAATAAAGTAGTTCATTTTGTTTAGTCTCTCCTGCTGTTGTGCGTGTAACAAGATCTGGGTTTCCAAGCTTCCATCCCAGACTACCTCCATTTACACCACATCTGCTCACTCACCAAGGAAAGCAGCTCCGGTAGGACTGTGGACACCAGAATTACTTCCTCCACGAGCAGGTCATTCTCCCTGACATTTCTCTAACAAAGTTTGCTTTTCTGATTAAAATAAATCCACTGCCACATTTCATTCTGCCTCCTATTCTTTATCCACACAAGCTCTTGCCAACTTTCTTCCAACGAAAAAGTGGACGTGAGACATTTAGACTTTCCCCATGCCTTACTCTTCCTCCTGCCTTTTTCCTCTTCCTTTCCCACCAGACATAAATTACTTTGATTCTGCTGACTTCTTAGTTGTTCAGGAATTATTCTCATCCTCCTCCCATTTCTTACTTCCCTCTGCCTTCATCTGCACAGTGCTGGTGCACTCAGTCTGCCTTCTCACAGCTCCCCACACTGACTCTGCTTGCTTCTCCACCTGTTCGTCCATCCCTCCTTCAGTCTTCACATCCACATTTCACTGATTTTGTCTGTATAATTAATACTTTTTCTTCTTTTTCACACAGGATCCGGTCCATCCTACTGACATCAACATTCTTCTCTCTGGCCTTCCTAATGCAATCCTTCCCCAGTACTATTTGCTCCCAAATGATGTTGCAAATACCTTTTTTGTCTCAGCTCACCTTCCCCTTTCACCCCATCATATGTTGCTGGTTTTCCCTCCCTCCTTGGGCTCTCCCTTCTGTATTATTTATGGGTTGTTTGCCTTGAGTTTCAAGGCTGTTCATGATTTAGTGACACATCCCATTTCCTCTCATCTGCTCCCAAGATGTCAGCTCTTGTCTCCAATCAACCCTTAGCACCAAACTTCTCCATTTGCTACTTTTTAAAGTTAGGACTTTCTTTCCTTCCTCCCATGCAGTCTCCTGACACCAGAAGCAACCTAAAACTTAATTCATTCAGTTTTCCAAAATTCCCCTTTCTAATAATGTCTACAAAGAAATTGACATCAATAGGCCATTTTTTGCTCAGATCCCATCACCCAAAACACTATTTCTGCAGATTATTTACACTGCTGCCTACCAGGAATGGTCAAAATCCCTAAATGAGTCTTCTAGTTGCCACAGAAATGTAAATACTAAATAACAAATAGAACTTGTAACCAGAATAGGCATAGTACACAAGATTCATACCATTTGCTCCTTGCAGAGAAAGCTCCAGAGAGCACCTACAAATAAACCAACACCCCACACGCACGGAAGGCTTACTTGCCAATATTGATGACAGAGAATACTCGAGCTCTATGCACTAGTTTACCAGCTCAGACACCGACCAACCTCTTTCAGATGTTCTCCATTTTGAAGTAAAAAGTGCAGGCAAAAGAAGGGGAAGAGCATTACGAGACACCTTCCCTAATAGACAGTTTCTCTGTAGATGAAACTTAGGGACCTTTGTATTAGGTATGCTAAAAGCACTGCAAGCCAACAGATGCACATGAGTACAGCAACTTGACTTCTGTGGGACTCCTGCAAGCACAGTCTGCTTAGTAAAGGCTTTAATTAACAACTTTGCAAAGGACAATGAGATTATAACAATTATTCACTGCAGGCAGCCTGTTTTTTCCTCCTCCAGTCTCCAGCACTTGCTTCAGCCTGCATTCCAGATAAATATTTTATTCCGTACAGGCAGAAGGTTCATTATGCAAGTGACAAAAAGAAATCATCAATTGCCATATACACAGATCCTAATGTACCTGGTTAATGTAGTTATAATATGTCACCGCAAAACATCTTGTCAGCATTTTGTAATTAAAAAAGAAAAGCTATTGCAATAATAAAGGCAATGCATTTAACGGAGACAAATATCACATGTAAGATGATCTTTCAAAGCCAAAACCAGCGTTACAAAAGCAAAGCCTTGATAACCTTACCCTGCATACTTCAGTACCCTTGAATGCTCTTTGGCCCAATAAAGTGCCCTTTTCTGCTCTATAATAGCACTATTCAGATAAGTAACGCTGACCAGTCTACAGGGCTGCAACATTTTTCAAAGGACAAAAAGCATTTCTTTCCCATTGAGTCAGCAGGATATTTATTTTCTTGTAACAAAGAGTTTTCTGAACTGCTGAGAGATTTGTCAAAACGGAATCACAAGTGATATATTAAACAACCAGAGGGGAGAACTTATTATTAGGTATTAAAAGAGAAAGCTTTAAGTTTACAAGTAAGAATAGGACTGTGTACTTGACTTTGTAAATTCTCTGTTAATGAGAAATCAAACATGAAAGGCAAACATTTAATCTACAGTAAATTCAGTCATTTAAATCATAGCCACTCACAGTCCTACTGTCTTACACTACATAATACACTGTAAAGGGCAACTAGCAGGGCATAAACGCGTGCCTGCTTAGTGCTTGGGAATATGCTGCAGTTATTTAAATACGAATTATCAAACCACCAGAATGAACTTTATATTAACAAAATGCCAGCTCCCTCCTTTGCAATCTAGCCCATAATAAAAGGCAGGCCACTGAACAGATCCCAATGGTTCCTGGAGCAAGACAACCCCTTTCCCTTTCCAAGCACAAGCCGTGCTCACAAGTCTGGAAAGTCTGATTGCCTTCCTCTGGCCCTATGTGTCCTGGGCAGTTAATTGCAATTGCTCAGAAGAGTTACAACACACATTAACAGCCTAGTGTTTAAGGCAATATTCAAGAACGAAATATGGTTTCACATACCCACAGGCCAATCACCATATCAAATCCGGTTGTCCTGCACCCTAGACTCCAACCATTCAGCCATGGTGTGAAAGGGAAAGGAAAGAATAGCTTCTGCTTACTCCATCAGCCTCTGACTATCACCTCCAGTACTTTAGTAAGTGATAACACAGGACATGCAATAAAGCAAAGATTTCTTTGCTGTATACAATGGTCTGACACCAGTGCCTTCTTGCTGCCACATCTCCAGATCTACAACTCTCAAGAAGAATAGGATTAAGATTTGTTCATTCTCAACATTTTCCGACCAGTTAAATTAAGTATCTCCCTGCTCAACCAGCCCTCTATTAGAGTCCACTGGAAGGGATTAACTTTCCCAGGACATCCTAAAGGCCCCAGGTGTCTGGCCACAGCAGTGGATTGCCTCCCAAGAGCCACACATCTCAGCGTTCAGTGCTGGCTCTCCTCCGATGACCTTGATATTTCTTATATACAGCAGAGTGCTGGAAAGGACTTTCTGGGTAAACACATTTATAAAATCATAGTACTGGAAGACGTGTCAGAAGGCCATTCAGCTCATTGTTCTATCCATGGTGAGATCAACTGTACGGATGGTATTTGCTCTTACTGATCTCCAGTGATGTAGAGATCACAGCTTTCCTGATAGTCTCTCTCCAGGTTTTGCTGTCATTTCCATACATAATGTTTTGTTTTTGTTTTTGTTTCTGTTTTTGTTTTTTTCTTAGTATCTAGCTTTATTATTATTATTACTTGCTACAATTTAAGGACCATTACTTCTTGCTCTGTCTCCATGGGAAAAAATAATAATAAAAACAAAGTCTATGAACAATAGCACACTTGCTTAGAGTAAATATTCCACATAAGCAAAAATAATTTTTGTACCTTCTTCCAAATTTGAGTTATTATCTATAACACAGAGGTTTTTTTAGAATTAAAACTTCTTGTTTTCAAAACAGGGAGTATGTGGTACTAGAACATAAGAAACCGAGTGTTTCAAGAGAGATTTTGGGGAGATTTTCATGAAGAGGAGAAATACAAAAGTTGATTCAAACTCTGTCTTCATATTTGCTATTCACTTAACTAATGGTGTTAAATAAATCCAAATGCCTAAAGATAGTAAGGGGGCAGAAATAGTTTAGAGATAGAGGGGAAGATTAGCAACAACAGTTCTGTTATGGTTCTTGATTTGAACGATTCTTTTTACTCAACATTAAAATGGGACTTACCCCCACCATTTCAGAATTTCAGTCTCCACGGTTGAACCATGTCCTGGATTATCATGCACTAACACAATTATCCTGCAGGCAGTCAAATATAAGTTTTCATATCCTTCTATTCATCTCTCATGCACATCCACAAGAACACATGGTGCTCCTTGCTAATTCGGTATCCTCCAGCACAAGCAGTTCTTCATCCATTACTGCAATCAAGGCTGATGCTGGAGGATAAAACACAAAAAGGAAAAATAGTGCTGGAGCTCTAGGAGAGCCGGTCTCTGCTGTGAACACATATTGAATAACAGGAGCAATATATTGGTATCTATTGTAATCCGCCCATGGCTAGAACAGCTGACTGATCCCTGTTATATGTATATTTTCAGGGTTTTATGACTTTAGGAAGAGCATTCATAAGAATACATAGAGGATTTCAGCCCATCAAAGATTCATCTAATAATGTATCAGGATGCGGCAGTTGGAAACATTTCTCTACTGGGGACTCCGTCTGTCCTAGGTGCTTCACTTGCTCTAATAATGCTTCCTGTAAGAAACCACTTGTTTTCTTCAGTCTTCCTTTTTTTTTTTTTTTTTTAAATCTAACATGTCTCCATAGCAGCAGAAAGTTAATCTTTAATTGATGAATGCAAAAGCTTAGACAAACCACAAACGCACAATTCAGCATGTCAGGCTTACAAAGGAAGTTCTGGTTCTATCAGGTTTCTACACCACATACAGCTGCAACATTGGCTTATATTACTAATCACTTGCAGTATTTGTGTCTTGAGTTGTAACAGATGGTGTTTGTGAGGCATGCAAAAGCTTCAGATAGCCAAATGGTACAGCAGTTGAGATAAGGAAAAAAATCCTCAAAACAAAATACCCATCCCTACTGTGGAGGCTGGAATGTGAGCAGTGTTTAAATTATTCCTAGTCTCTGCAAATGCATTAGATTTACAGACTCTTAACCCTAAATAGGACTAGATTCAATCTTTCATATTTCGTTACCCCAGTAAATCAGCACAATGGCAGCTAACAGACCTGGAGTGCAGCAACACATGCCAAAGCACAACACAGAAGTTCCATTCCTGATTGTTGGAGAGGCCTGGGCCCCAGATTATACCAGTACAAATCCGGTGTAGATCACAGATATTATTGTAACGTCTCGGTTCTGATGACAAAAATTGGTACCTCGTATGCTAAAGTACTTGAAAATCCAACGTGATGCAATCTGAATTCAATCTGGCCTTCATTAGGTGTAGTAAACAGCTCAGCTGTGGACAGCGGTGATCTCAGTGAGATAGAAGCTTTCATGGCCTGTAATTTTCACATCTGTGAACAGTAGCACAGGAAGGATCCACCTGGCCAAGAAGGACCTGTTATTGCAATGCCCAGTCTTCAGATAGAGGGGCACCAGGCATCTGTTTATAGCTATTTGGTCCTTTACCCCTGGATATGTTATCTGCAAAGCGTTCGAGGAGTCTGTATTGGCCCATTAAGCTGTAACTCTCAGTTCTGAACCATTTGCAGGTAATTTTAGGGGAGTCCTATAAATCTCCCTCTCTGGGGAATCATTTTCAGTCATGATCTTTTTTCCCATACGCTGACCTGGCTTCATAGACATGGAATGAGTGAAGGACAACATGCATCTTCACACTGGCACTTAACTTACTGACATCTCAGGAGATCTCCCAGCAGTTTCATGTTTAACAAAGGGAGAAAGATGCCAGAGCACAGGGCAGCTGCCAGTCAAGACTACAGAGGCTTGTTTTGAGAGGAAAGAATAAAGACAGCAGAACTGATTTCTGTCATATCTTTACTGGATTCAAGTCAGCAGTGGATCTTTCTAATAGCATTCTCAAATAATGCAGTAATAAAATTAGGACTGTTTGCCCATTGCCTTTGGTTAAGTAAAGATCATTCAGCAACAAAGTAAGAATATTAGATGTTAGATGGGGAAAAAAAAGACAGCTCATAAGTAAAACTTGTAGTTGATACTGTACTTTTCTGGACAAGAAAGTAGCCCCTCCCCAGTTTCTATCATTCATTTTTTTTCTTCCTTTTCCGTTAAAAAACAAGTACAAAACTAAGAATATTTTTAGTTCCTTCAATTTAAAAAATAATAATAATGTTAGCTCTTTAAAAAATAATTTGGAAGGAACTGTGTTGTTGTTGTTTTTTTATAATAAAACTTTTAGAAGACAGTCTGACCATGGCTAGATACCATTAAACAGAGCTGAATTCCATTATATTGAGCACAGCTGGGCTCACTTACTTCTCTCTTCTAAGGGTTGTTAGCACTGAAATACCAATCTGTGTTGTTTTTTAAACACTTCCAACATATAAGCTTCAGATTCTCTCACTGTTGGCTAGTGCGCTTAATTTTATGGCTATATTCATGATGCCTTTGCTTTAAAAGCTGCCTAGTTTTGTTTAAATGATGATAATATTTAAGCACACGGAAGCCTGAAAAGCTTTTATGACAGATTTTCATGACCTTGACATGCAGCAGCACTGACATTTATTACTGGTGATACCTGGATGGTACTTTTGATATCCCACCATCAAATTCTGAACCACTGAAGAGAAAAAGATCTTGCTATTACTCTTCATTGAAGCAGGACTGGTTCCACAGAGGGAAGCTCCAAAGCATCACCAGTGAAATCTTGTTGCTGCAGAAGACAAAGCAGAGAGAATGAATATAGCATTAAAATAAAATAAAATAAAATAATAGATAAATAAATAAATAAATAATGATAATAATAATAAAAAAAAAAGTGCCTGACTGGGCCATTTCAGATAATGCACAGCCAAAGTGGCATGCACCACTCACTCAGGAGGTGTATTAGCACCCAAGAAAACACACGTCATCACATCTTTGTTGTAGTGAAACTGCAGCAGTCACCAGCTCAGATAGTCAGCAATTGCTTTTTATTTTTTCCTCAGCATGTCAGGCTGATACCAGTAATCTGATGCTTCTCTGAGTGCTTTCAGAGGGCAAGATCCTGAATGAAGCAAGTGTTTTCTCGGGTATTCTCTCACAAAGGACAGAACAGAGTTGAGATAAACCTCAGCACTGCACACAACAGGAACGTGACTTAGCTCTATTTGCTTCTGCCATACCACAAAATTATGAGGAAGACAATGGAAGCAGAAGAAAAGTGGCTGAGTGTACATAGCTAGAGGGGCACTCCAGAAACCTAATACCTACTCCTGGTAGAACCAGCAGCCTAATGGATAACCTCACAAAGTCACCTCTTCTCTTCCACAGGTCTTCTATTCATCTTACTATAAAATGATAGCACAAGTCAACAGCGCTTTTTTGTTCTGTTTTGTTTTTTAAACCATCACCAGTTTAAACACAACACCTTCAAGGATTTACTTGTTCCCTCCCGATGCACAACACAGCTGTGGGCAGAAAAATCAGAGGCAGTGCTGTCAGACAGGCAGAGAGGCAAGTGTTAGTGCTAACTACTCGCATCAAGCTTCGAAGCATGCATTTAATTGGACACTTTTATCTGGCTCCTTCCTGATCCTTTTTGTTCCACAATAATCAGAATACTTTAACAGTGGATCAGGCAACACTTTTGTCAGTTGTGTTCTCTACTGCTACCATTACCAAGAGTTAACATAATAAATTTGGTTGAAGATCTCTCCACTTGAGGAGTTGAATGAGGAATTAACCTCCTGCCACAGGAATAGAGCAAATATTGAACCTGAGGTTGCTGGCACTAGAAGCGGAAAGCCTGAACTAGAGGCCTTCCTGCATGGCAGCCATCTTGCAGAATGGCCTTTTATGTCTGTAATCACTAGAGATGGCAAAATCACATGCTACAGTAATGCAAGCTGCATTCATTTTCAGCATTATTAGGCAAAATCCTGGGTCCACTTCATTTCTATTAATGGTTAAAGAAGGAAGCTGTTTCTCAAATGGGCGATCAGTCTTGCTAAAGTACATGAGCATAAACTGAGTCAGAGCTTCAGAAACTCACTTTACATTTTATGTAAAAATAGAAAAAGTAATATATGCAATACAGCCATTAAAATGCATGTGCATTTGTGTGCAAGTTCTCTTTCTTCTCTTCCTTTCCTTCCCAGCTTGATAACTATATTGTTGATAGGAATAAAATATCAGCCTTTACTTGTACACATACCCAAGATCTTGTAAGTCATTACAACGTGTTTTTGAGATTTGCCACTTCACTGCTCTATAAAAAGCTTCCTGAAAAAGTATTAACAGATGGCCTCTTACTCTCTGAGACTGTTCGCAATACACCAGATGGCAACCTGAAAGAGAAAATCCAACTTACATTTTCAAAACTGAAAGAAATGTGACAATATCCTCACAATAAATATACAGCATGAAGGTAGCAATAAATGATCCGTTTGAAGCAAACTGGCTTTCTTTATTTAAGCACTGAATCCAGCCCTCATTTTATAACATATTGCAGAATGTTTCATATCCAATGCTGGAAGTAATTTCTGATGCAAGCAGAAAGTTTGCTTTAAATGAGCAACAGATTTATGAGAGGCAAGGTTATTTGAAAGAGCAAAAAAAAAAAAAAAAAAAAGGGCCAGTAGCCTTGGGGGTTAAGATTTTGTATACTGGATCCCTGGTATCTGGTTTGTGTCTAAGAGCTAGTCAGTAGGTTGCAGCATTTTTGCTATCAATTTTAGAAGTATTAAGTCCACCTTGCCAGTCAGGGTTTTGTTAGTGGAAGGTAATAACTGTTGCAGACACTTACTACTTTCTAGCTTTCTGATTCACCTGCTACACAGCCACTTAACTCAGCTTATGAGAACTGGAGAGCCCTGATAAATACAGCCAGCCATCCTCCATGTTCTTAGCTGCTCTTTGAGGCTGAGGCTACCATTTAGATTCATCAGGTTGTCCTTCAGATAGAGGGAGTAATCACTAAACTACAAGGACCACTGATGGGGTTAGAAATGTTTTCTAGCACACATCAGGAAACTGAGGAACAGACCTTTGTACTTGTATAGTGTTAGTGTGATGGGGCTTCTCCTCAGATAAAGCTTTGAGGAGTCACTGCGATTTCAATAACATCCATTTAAGTTGTGATTCTGTTCCCAAGGACAAAGCCCGAAAGGATTCTGAAGAGATTGAAAGGGGAGGACAGGTAAACTTCCAACTATCTCAACACAGTGGGTCAGTAACTGTTCCTATCAAGCTCACTTTTCATGTGAGGACTCACCTGGAATGCCCATCATTTTCCTCTTCCAAAGCTTCTCTAGAAGAGAAAGACTGGCAGTGGAAATATAAATGCCTACACCTGCTTTCATAAAAATACAGGGTTATCTTTTGTGCCATCAGGTTTTAAGCAGAATTCCCCATTGAAGTCAATATGCCATAAGCACAAAACTGCCTGTAAGACAAATTATAAAATTACGAATCAGACAGCTGTCCTACCATAGCCCACAAAAGGAAACTATTTGTATAAAGCTGCTATTTATTATTAATAATATAAAATATTTATAATTATACCAGATGTATGAAAATTGTCACAGAGAGAATTTCCCTCTTAGCTCTCTCATTGGCAATGAGCCCATTTTCACAAGCTATAAACAATAACACAAATAACTCTACAGAGATGAGATAATAATGGGACTAATGCTTGGCTTTCTGTGTAAGTGTGCCACCACGTAGCTAAAAGACCTTTTTTCTTGGTCCAAGACAGTAAAGTGTATAAGCCATTTAGAGAGTCTTAGGGAAGAGGCAGGAAATCTGCTAAGTTCTAGCCTTTTAAAGTCAACTTTAATATGCTCACAGATTTCACCTGGAGGTGCAACAACTGTTCTCCTAAAAACAAACAGTATTAGCTGCTTGTTAATATTGTACAACTTTATGGATCTACAGTCTAATAAGAGCACAGCAATGTTAAAAGCTATAGTGTACAAAAATTAATCTTCAGGAGAACAAAGGATAAAGCTGCATCCCAATGTCACTATTGTTACTGTTTTTTGTTGTTGCAGTTTTTGGTGGTTTGTATATATATATTATATATATATAATTAAGTTATTTATATATAAAGTTTTTTCAGCTATTATTCCAGAGAAAGTCACCAGTATGATGCTCAAGTAGCAGTATTTAGATGATCTTTTGTATCTGGCAAGAAAATCATTGTCTTAGGATTTTGTGCTTGCCCCATTTAGAAAATGAAAGTATCAGATCCCCCTGGATTTATTACTCATTAAATGTCTATTCATGGTATGAGCTTACTCCATCCAGTTCTCTCCTTCTGGAACAAGGCCACCTCCTCCACTTGTATCAACATACTAATGCACATCCCCTAATCGCACTACTGCCCCTCTCTACGACACTGCTTGCAAACCCCTTGAAGAGTTCAGACACATTTCTGGGAAAGGGACCGGTGATTGTGTTACCTTCACCTGCCTTCTTCATGTAGCTGCTAGGTTCACAGGACTAAATCCGTCTGAGGTCACACACTCCTTCTTACTCTGGCACTCCTCTAACTCTTTGGTGAGCTAAATCAGGAAAAAGACAAATTTTCGTTGGGTTAGCAAGCCAAAAGAGCTCCCAAGGAACCAGGCATGCACCAACAGAAGGGTGAGGGCAGATCCAGCCAGCTGTGAAGAGCTTTAAAAGGTTAAAAAAGCTTTTTTAGCAGCACACACAAAACCTCCCCAACAATGGCTTGTGCAGTGTCTAGCACTACTGGGCCCATATCCAGCTAAAGGCTCCAGACCCAACTGAGAGCTGGAGATGTGAAACACTGAACATTTTGGAGTGAGGAAACCACATGGCACAACCGAAACTAGAAATCTACCTTTGCCATTTAAGTGAAACAAAGTCAAGTCTGCTAATCCCAGTGGCCTTCATGGAGCCACACCAGCACAGAACTTGATTTACTTTATGAAAGAGGTTAAAAAGATTCCCATTACACTTCCTTTTCCCTAGTCAGTCAATGATCAAATGCACAGAAGTCCTTTCTAACCCACGGGCTGGGGTTTCCTTTTAAAGCTGACTGAATGACAGGGCACTGCAGAAGATGACGGCTTGTCACCATTCACTTCTGGAGCTGGCAGGCTTGGGTTGAGCGCTTTGCCAATGTACAAGCTCCTGAAGCAGAGATGCCAGACCCTAAGAGAGCATAAAGCAGTGATACAGTTCTAACTCCAGCCAGTGACTGCTGTCTGTAAAGATCTATCTGCCTTGCTGGTGCTAAACAGGGAGGTGCTGGTATCACACCAGTGGGTCAGGGTTACTTGGCCACAAGGCTGGAAGTAATTTGCAGGTTGGCTACAAGAGGTTAGCAGTTCTGCAGTCTGAAGGTTGGCTAAAAAGATTTTGGTTTTAATTTTATTTTTTAAAGGACACCACTTTTCAGCCTGATCGCAGTTCCAAGTGTGACTGTTATTAATAACATCCCTACAAAACTAAATACCAGCTCCCAAACTCATTCCCATTGTCTTGCCCGTAACATGTCTAAAGCATAATCCTCTCTTAAACCCAATCAGCTTTAGACTAATGCATTTTGCTGGTCCAACACAAAAAGTTTCCTGTGTTTGCAGACCACAACGGGAGCCCTACTGACCTGGTTTTACATTGTTAGGTCCTCCATTCAGGTTAAGCTGAGTGCTGCTTAATGCAGACCTGCTTTTATATTCCCCCTCTACAATGAGTTTCTGAGAACCTGCCTGGACAAGATAGCAACCAGCCTGCACTGAGAAAGCATCAACAAGTTTCCACATTATTCTTAAGCTTCTCCTGAATTTACAGGGAGGTGAAAGAAAAACAAACAAACAAACAAACTCAGTAACCATCACCCAACTGCAGAATTCAGCTGGCATTAACTCTTTTGCTCAGTTTGGAGCCTGGCTTATGCAAAACCTGTGTTAGATAGCACAACCACCACCTTCACTCCTATTTCAGACATTGTCAGAGTGCAAGAAGCTTGGTAAAGTCTTGGGAGTGTGGACGGATGGCAGGCTGGTCACTCTTGATTGCCATGAGATTGCGAACTGCTTGCATCTCTCACCCTAATGTTATTCATTAGAATTACACTGTTCATTACAGTCATTAATATTTTACATTTTGGAAATACTAGGTCTGATTCCACTCTTACTCAGTGTTGCATTAATCACAAAGCAGCTTTTGCATGTAAAACTGGTGGGAGGGAGGGAAACAGAACTTGTGTAAGGGTACTATTGAAAAGTCTTGGCCTACGTTTCTTCATGCAGAAAAAAAAAATCAACTTAGCTGAGACAAGAATGCTGGGAAGTGGTGATTTCTCCTTCACGAAGAATTAGAGCACAGCTCTTAGGAGTGCAGCATTTAAATAAGAATCAGCGTTTTAGCTGGAGACAAATGCACTAATCATGGTCATGAACGCAGCTGAACTAAATGTCTCAGCAAAGCCACTCAGCGATGGCATTAGTCACGATAAAGGAAATGAGTATTTTCAGGATAGGACACACTCAGAGAATACAAACAGAATCTTTTGTGCTTGCTTCTATGGAGGGATGATTTAGAGTATGTATTTAAACAACTTGCTGCTAAAATAACAGCACAATTCAAGATACCCTTTAAAGAAATGTGTCTGGAAGAGAAAGAGTTGCTCCATAAATTGTTTTCTAATTGTCCACATGACCACTGCCTCTATTGCTGCACAGGAACAATTCAGCAGAAAAAAAGAATGGAAGGAATACAGGAACAATAAGGATTATTTTTAAAATAAATCGAAAAAGAAATCTCTATTTTACCTCTGAGTATTTCTAAGCTTATTCTTTATTAAAAAGTGACTATTCTATACTCTATGAAGTTGTAAGGACATGACAAATAGGACTTTGAGCCTATTTGTAAAGCAATCTACTTTTAACCACCTCTGCTTCACACACTGATCTTTTCTTCCAAGCACAGTAGCCAGCACTGGGTGAAAAAACCACCAATGCAACTGACTAGATTATATACAGCTTTAGTAGTAAAAAATTGAAAAATCGCTTTTTAAGGTACATATTGCATGTAAATAAATGTATAACTCATCATTACATAAGAACAAGTTACATCAAAATGGTGTGTTTTTTTTTCTTATTGTATAAAATTTGGAAGCACTACTTTCCATGTTTCTAATAACAAAAAATAGACAGAAGAAGCATTCCACTACTCTGGGCGAACACATCTCAGTGAATTACAACTGCTGATGATGATTAACCAAATCAGAAGTCTTCATTTCAAATGCAAAATAAAATGATATGTCTAGTGGTAGCTAATATCCCACAGCTTTCAGGTTTTCTGCCTTGCATGTTCCTTGATGTGTTGCTGACCTCTAGTCGAGGAGCTCTGGAATTACAGGGCACAGCCTCTCCCACATACACAGATGACATCTGAACCATTTTTACAAAATACTTACAAAATAAAAAACTGAAGGACATTTGCCTCCTTTTACCTGTGGTCATAAGCCAAAGCCTGGAGGTGCAACACAAAGCATAGACAAGCACTACCTGTAAAGCTGATGGAAGGTTTGTAATAGGTTTGGTAAGAGATTATGTGTGGGAACATGACATGTCTTTGCTTCCTAGCTTTCAGTTTTAATGTCTTGTGACTCGTTTAAACCTCTCAAGTGAAGTGAGAGCTTATTGATCTGCAATCAAGTATACGAAAAAAACTTTGAGAAATCCAGAACTGGCTACTATTGCAAACTAATAAATGAAGTGGGGTGGGGAAGCAGGGAAAGAGGAAGGTGGGAGATTTATCAGGCCTAATGAGCATAGAAATTCAAGTATTTTATTACTTTCAAAGAGCCCCCCCCCCCAAAAAAAAAAAAAATGTGAACAACTGACCTGAAAATACAGAAAAATGCTGTCTGACTAGCAGAAATCTTAATAGCATTTTGTTTGTCAAATACAGCAGGTAAAATTAATTTAAAACATTTTACTTCTACAATTACAGAGGGCCTGGACTTCAAACTAAATTGAAGAATAACATGACAGCTTGGCATTCCTGCAATGTCTGCATCTAAACTAACCACAGAACATACACAGGTGATGTAGTCCCTATAACATTGTGAATGAAGGTGTTCAGGGATGCTCCAAGGGTCAGTTCCCTAAGGCAGGGGTAGGTGGCTCTCTCCTCTTAACTGTCTTCCTGTGCTTGGTAGCACTCAGATGAGGATGCACATGCCATGTTTCTTCCTTGCAGTTGTCTGACCCTGATTCTGCAAAGCACATTAAGCGTGCTGCCTAAGTTTAAACGTTTTACTTAATAGGAGCGTGCGTTAGTGCAGAGGGTAACAGTTGACTGTTTCAACTCCTATCTGTATTCAATAAACAATGGGTAGCATCTATTTCTTTCACAAAGTGATTGATATACATGTAAAAATCCTTAAATGAACCATTACTTACAAGTGCAGTGATAAATTCTGATCTCATTTGCATGGCTTTAAATCAGAAACAATGTCACTGCTTTCATGGAGTACCATGGAGTAAGTATACAACATAGAACTCGGTGAAAACACCTAGAGAAGCTTGGAAAAGAAAAAATGCAGACAAGAGTAACATTTACAGAAACAAATCACCCTTAAAGGAGATGAGGGTTTGCAAATTCTTAAAATATGAAGATCCATTTAAAGCAAACCTATCACAGCTTCCCTGTCCAGTGCTATACCTCCAAAATAAATAGCTTTAATCTGTGCTAATCTTATTTCAGCAAAGAAAAGCTAAAGCTGGCAACAAGAAAATGATTATACTATCAAGTTCAATAAGGCAATCTATTTGTTTTTAACATCTCTGACCCTGATTTTGTTTAGTAAAACAAGGTATCTGAATTTTCCAGCAGAGTAGATAAAGGAAAATGATGAGTATCCCACAGCTGCATGTAATGAGGGCTCCCTAAGTAATGGATCACATCCTTCTTGCTGTGAAATATTCAAGAGGGCTTGAGTAAAGAGAACCATTTCCTTCAGCACAAGATCAAACTCGCTTTGAAAACAGGAAAATGTGGGAATTATTAGGATAGGCTGTAGGTTCAATCAAGGATAGATATTATACACTTCATACCTGCCAAGATTTGTCTTCTAGGAATTATGTCCTAATTCTATTACCAGCAAAATATTTCAGAAAAGGCTCTGTTCTTTAAAGCTGCAACAGCAGACGGAGATCAAAACAAACTTTTTTTCCAGACACGTGATTAATACTTGTCCTTTTATGAGGCAATTTGTTGCAAGAACAAGCACTGCTTAAAAATTCACTGCAGTTCTCCGGGCAGGGGAAATATTTCTTTGACTCCACAGGGGTTGTGCAGCCTGGCTTTCCAGGAAGGAGGAAAGGGAGGAGTTCCTTCAGGCAGCAGGATGAGGGTAAGCCTCTGAGGCAGTACAACAAAGCAGGATTAGGCAGTTTGGAGGGGGTTGAAGATGGGAGATGGAAGAAAAAGCTGCTGCTCTGTTTTTCAGAGATGAATTACTACCAGTCTTTTTCAGTTCAGCACCTGTTCTTTATAGTAGTGTCTCCTCTACTCAGCCTACTTCATGTTACCTGTAGGCCACGTTCAGAGAGCTTTGGAGAGGCACAAACAGCCTTGGGTTAAAAGCACCAGATAAGGAATCAATGTCCTTTTAGATCCATGTCTGTTCACAGCTCATCTGACCTCAAGTAAAGGAATTTCAGCTCTCTAGCCTGGAGTTCTCTGTCTGTAAAATGGGAATAATCTCCCTGACTGCCCCTCTATGCTTGTTTGGTCTGAGAGCTAGGCACAGCTATCACTGTTTCTTAAGCACTTGAATACAGGCCAAAACACTGCTAACACGAATAACTATTTGTGGAGCTGGATAAAAATAAGATTTTTTAATACCATGAGAAGCTGCGCTAATTGAGATTTTCCCATCACTTTCTTGTTGACAATATTTTGACGTTTCCCTGCAAGACGAGCTATTTTTAAAAAAAACTGTTTTAGAAACTGGAACTAACATTAGTGAAATGGAGTCCTTCCATTTTGACAGAAGAGAACACTTTTGGTCAAGATCTTTTGCTTTGATTTTATAATTTTGACAAAGCAATTACATTCTCATTTGTTATAATAAAGTTTTATAGTATGTCAAAAATTATACAATAAAAACCAAAATGATGAAATTGAAGGTCCTCAATCTTATCAAAACAAGTTTTCAATAAAACAGTTAACAAAACAGTATTTCTACATAAAATTTTGATTTAACTAAATATTTTCCTAACAAAAAAACTATCTGCAGCCAGATGATATTCAGAGAGCTCTTCTAATTTCTTCTAATGATTAATAAGCAAGCCTTTGTTCAGAAAACTTGCACCGAAGTTTCAGCTGCGCTTGCAGCCTAACATGACCCTGAAACATGACTAAATTCTGACTTCATTTGTGTCCACTTCACTAAGCACCTTCAGTGGGGTGCAAAGGAGGAACGCAGCCCAGAATTCTGCTGAACATTCAGTGCAGGCTGGCCACTGGAGTCTGTTCAAACGATTAGGAACATGTAATTGCTTTTACATGGTAAGGAGTGAACCAGGAATCTTTAACACAGCACATAACATACCAGAAATGAAAGACTTCTTGATTCTGCTACTGCATCAGGACTAAAAGAAAAGAGCAAGGTTTTAAATATATGGATAATGCCAAATAGACTGTACTTAGTACAAAAATCACAATACAGTGTCCAGAGGTAGTTTTACAAAAGTGCTTCAGAAATAAATCCAAAGAACTTGTGTCAGTCAACACATGTACAAAGCTTACAGATGTTATACTTAAAACATGAAAATAAATCAGAGCAGAAACAGAAAGGCCTGAGTAACTACTACATTCTGCTACACCTAAAATCAGAGAGATAAAATACTTCCTTTCTGAGTCCTGCTCTCTTTAGATTTCTGTTCTATTTTCTTGCTGGATCCTAATCTTTCAGATCATGACTTCATATCTGATTTCACTGTTCATTACATCTTACTGTTCTTTTCCTCTCTGCTGCTTCAGTCTATTATCCCCACTCCATGTCCAAGTGCACATACAGAAATATCAAACTTTGTCATTTTCTCTTGCTTACTCAAAGCTCCATTATAGTTCATCTTGGGGCCTTCACACACTGCTGGATAAAAATGTTCTACGACTCAGCATTGAACCAGGTGTTAATGAG